TGATTTTAATTATTAATTATGATTTCAATCCATCAATTTGAAAAGTGAAGTAATGTGCAAAAAAAATATGTATGATCAAAAGTCCTATATTTGCAATGATCTTCAACAACACATTCCTATATCAACCTAAAATTTAGCATTTATATTAAACAAAATGATATTTATAGCATCAAATTGTTGAAATAGTTTCTCCATCACAACTTCATACACTGCATACATGACAAGAAAACTAAAATGTGTTAAAGGAGACAGAGAGTATAAAATAATAAATTCAAATACTATTGATATTATGTTCAAACAGTGTTTGAATAATAGTTAAGTCATAAATTAATTTTGATCAGATTTGAATCAAATATTGATCTTAATCGATCTTGCTGGTATTCATTTGATCATTATTTAAACAATGAATGTACCATATTTGTTCTTTGTTAGAACTATATATGGTCAAGACTTGTTTGATCACTGTTTAAATTATATTCAAACATGATTCAAATAAGCTTTGAGTATTCTCTCATAGTTTGAACATATTTTGATCAATATTTGAATAAGCTTGTATCATAATTTGAATATTCTCTCGTAATCATATTTGTCTAATTATGAAGTTTGAAAAATAGATAATCTTGACGCTTACTACTTAACTTCTACCATGTTAGCATCGCCTCGTTGCCCTAAAAAATATGCATTGGGGTCGCTTCATTGAAGAACATATTGATGTTATGGTGGTAACCTAACTAGAGAAATATATCCATCAATAGTAATCATGAATAAGCTCTTCTTACAGAAGGTTGACTATCTAGGAAAGCGTATATGACAATTTGTTATGAAAAAAAAATTATGTTAATAAACGTTGCCATTTATTTGATCAGGCCAAAATGACAGCTGTAATAGAATGTCATGAAGTAGGTTGAGACATTAGTGTTGCTTCATGCATATTATTAGAATAAAATCCTTGCCTTTCTCTAGCATTGACTTCTCATTTCTTTTCTCAGTACTTTCCATAGTGTCACATGAAGTATATAAGTTAAACCAAGGTTAAGATTATAACATTTGAAAATAATTCCCATATGTTTAGAATATGCACTGTAAAATAAAGCCATGCCGAAAATCTAGATAGGTTTTTTCTCATTTTTCTTCTCATAATGAAATGAATATTTCTCTTGCATAATTCATAATTAAGAAAAAAGCACGACACATCCATGGTGCATTTTATGCATTGATATTATTGATGTGATCACCTAACGAAGACTCCAAGTGTGAACTTCGGTGGGTGCTTTTAAACTAATTAGTTAGGATTATAAATAAATTGAGATGAGCCAAGTAGGAGAAACTTTAAGCTTGATTTTATTTAGAAAATGTTTTTTGTTTCAACTAGCTCATAAATTGATTCAATGTTTTTATATTTATGTTGAAGATCGAGCTCATTTATCAAAGGCTAATTAAAACTTGGCTTGACATTCATTCGGGTTTATTCACATCATGATTAGCTAGTTTTATCAAGTTGAGAGATTGTTGAGTTTCACAAACTAGAGTTTTAACTAGAATTTTAATGCATAAGTTTAATAAATAAGCATTATTCTATCAATCGAAGCTTGTTCACATGCAACTACTCTTAGCATCAAATCTTAATCGAAATTTATTTTAAGCTATAATTGAAATTCTAAATAAACTTGTTCAAGTGTTTTTAAACGGCTCCATTTATGATCATAAATGACTCCAGCAACAAATTATTTGTGCTAATTAATTTAATAATTGAGCATTTATAAAAAAATTGAGCTTATTTAGTTAATTAATCTTACGATTATGAATGGGCACTATTAAGTTGTGTCACCAATAATGTACAACACACTCAATTTATAGCCTTATAAGTAGTGGTGCTATAATAAATTTGCTTTGAGAATTACACAAGCTATTCAATTTATAAATAAGGTGCTATGATGATATTTAATCTCTTCAACTGCTCGTCATAATACTATTGAATTTATAAGAAGATGACATTCAAGACAAACTCACTTGATGAACTGCCCCTTCATCAAGTGATAGATGAATTTTGATGATCATCCCCTATTAAAAGCAACTAAAAGTAATTGATTTTAATTATTAATTATGATTTCAATCCATCATATTGAAAAGTGAAGTAATATGCAAAAAAAAAAAGTATGATCAAAATTCCTATATTTGCAATGATCTTTAACAACAAATTCCTATATCAACCTAAAATTTAGCAAAAAAAAAATGTTCATTTGCGTTTAATATTAAACAAAATGATATTGATAGCATCAAATTGTTGAAATAGCTTCTCCATCACAACTTCATACACTGCATACATGGCAAGAAAACTAAAATGTGTTAAAGGAGACCGAGAGTATAAAATAATAAATTCAAATACTATTTATATTATGTTCAAACAGTGTTTGAATAATAGTTAAGTCATAAATTAATTTTGATCAGATGTGAATCAAATATTGATCTTAATCGATCTTGTTGGTATTCATTTGATCATTATTTAAACAATGATTGTACCATATTTGTTCTTTGTTAGAACTATGCATGGTCAAGACTTGTTTGATCACTGTTTAAATTATATTCAAACATGATTCAAATAAGCTTTGAGTATTCTCTCATAGTTTGAACATATTTTGATCAATATTTGAATAAGCTTGTATCATAATTTGAATATTCTCTCATAACCATATTTGTCTAATTATGAAGTTTGAAAAATAGATAATCTCGACTTTTATTACTTCTACCATGTTAGCATTACCTCGTTGCCCTAAAAAAATATGCATTGTGGTGGCTTCATTGAAGATCATATTGATGTTATGGTAGTAACCTAACTAAAGAAATATATCCATCAATAGTAATCATGAATAAGCTCTTCTTACAGAAGGTTAACTATCTAGGAAAGAGTATATGACAAATTGTTATGAAAAAAAGTTATGTTAATAAACGTTGCCATTTATTTGATTAGGCCAAAATGACAGTTGTAGTAGAATGTCAAGAAGTAGGTTGAGACTTTAGTGTTGCTTCAGGCATATTATTAGAATAAAATCCTTGCCTTTCTCTAGCATTGTCTTCTCATTTCTTTTCTTAGTACTTTCCATAGTGTCACATGAAGTATATAAATTAAACCGAGGTTAAGATTATAACATTTGAAAATAATTCCCATATGTTTCGAATATGCACTGTAAAATAAAGCCATGCCTAAAATCTAGATAGGTTGTTTCTCATTTTTCTTCTCATAACGAAATGAATATTTCTCTTGCATAATTCATAATTAAGAAAAAAGCACGACACATCCATGGCGCATTTTATGCATTGATATTATTGATGTGATCACCTAACGAAGACTCCAAGTGTGAACTTCGGAGGTTGCTTTTAAACTAATTAGTTAGGATTATAAATAAATTGAGATGAGCCAAGTAGGAGAAACTTTAAGCTTGATTTTATTTAGAAAATGTTTTTTGTTTCAACTAGCTCATAAATTGATTCAATGTTTTTATATTTATGTTGAAGATCGAGCTCATTTATCAAAGGCTAATTAAAACTTGGCTTGACATTCATTCGGGTTTATTCACATCATGATTAGCTAGTTTTATCAAGTTGAGAGATTGTTGAGTTTCACAAACTAGAGTTTTAATGCATAAGTTTAATAAATAAGCATTATTCTATCGATCAAAGTTTGTTCACTTGCAACTACTCTTAGCATCTAATCTTAATCAAAATTTATTTCAAGCTTTAATTGAAATTCTACATAAACTTGTTCACGTGTTTTTAAACGGCTCCATTTATGATCATAAATAACTTGAGCAACAAATTATTTGTGCTAATTAATTTAATAATTGAGTATTTATAAAAAAAATTTGAGCTTATTTACTTAATTAATCTTACGATTATGAATGTGCGCTATTAAGTTGAGTCACCACTAATGTAAAACACACTCAATTTATAGCCTTATAAGTAGTGGTATTGGAATAAATTTGCTTTGAGAATTGCATAAGCTACTCAATTTATAAATAAAGTGCTGTGATGATGATTAATTTGTTCAACTGCCCGTCATAATACTATTGAATTTATAAGAAGATGACATTCAAGCCAAACTCACATTAGATTTTACACAGATCTATTTAGGAACTCCAACTAATCTCTGGCACACACCCTTTCATCAAGTGGTAGATGAATTTTGATGACCACCCCCTATTAAAAGCAACTAAAAGCAATTATATTTTTAAGGTTGATTGGCTATTTTATGAAGTGAATTGAAGTAAAAACGCTTGCAAAAGTGACCGCTATATTCATCATTAAATTCATTTGTTAAAAAAGATTTAAGAGATTCAACTTGTATTTTACCATCTTCTCATACAACGAAGAAGCAAATTGAGTTTTTATAAATGATTTAGGCTTCGTTGGAACATGTGTTTAGGCTTCGTTCTATTCTAAAAAAAGTGGACAAAATATAAATATTTCGTTTGAGTATTCAATATTTTGAAAAGTTCTTCTATCACAATGACATTTCTTTTAGTTCTGAATCATGAATAGAGTGCAATAATCTAAAATGCAGCTTTTAAAAGAACTTCTCTCAATCAAAATACATAGAACTACGAGGCCAAAGTTTTCCTAACCTAAAAACACATACGAAATCTTATTTTGGGCCTGGGCTCCAAGACAAGGTGCAATAATCTAAAATGCAGCTTTTAAAAGAACTTACCTCAATCAAAATCTTATTTTGGGCCTGGGCTCCAAGACAAAGCCAAAAGCCCAAAGTTCTCTGAATTGGTAGGAGTGCTCCTTCGGATCTTTCTCCTCCTCTCACTCTCATCCGCCAAAATACAGATAAGAGCTCGCTCACTGACTGACGTCCACTCCTTCCTACTTCCCACCTTCAAATTCAATCGTCAGCCCTTTCTCCTTCATCTCAATGGCCTCTATAACCTTCGTCGGCACTGCGCCGGCTTCCGCCTCCTCAAAAACCCTCTTCCCCGTCCATTCTTCGCCATCTTCCTCACCCTCCTATCATCGACCCGCGGCGGCGCTGTCGGCTTACTGGTCATCGCTGCACGGCACGGGCCTCACTGCGCCTAGATCTGCATCTCGATCTCAGCTTCATCTCCACCGGCGCGGTGGCCACCTTGTGGTGCGCGCTGCGCGTGGCAAGTTCGAGCGGAAGAAGCCACATGTCAACATCGGCACCATCGGGCATGTCGACCACGGAAAGACCACCCTAACCGCGGCTCTCACCATGGCCCTCGCTTCACTCGGCGGAAGCGTCCCAAAAAAATACGACGAGATCGACGCCGCCCCGGAAGAACGAGCCCGCGGCATCACCATCAACACGGCCACCGTCGAGTATGAGACTGAGAACCGGCATTACGCTCACGTTGATTGCCCTGGACACGCTGACTATGTTAAGAACATGATAACTGGCGCCGCCCAGATGGACGGCGCCATCCTCGTCGTATCCGGTGCCGACGGCCCCATGCCCCAGACCAAGGAGCACATCCTTCTTGCCAAACAGGTTGGCGTACCTAACATGGTCGTATTTCTCAATAAGCAGGACCAGGTGGACGACGAGGAGCTTCTGCAGCTCGTCGAGCTCGAGGTTCGTGAGCTTCTTTCCTCCTACGAGTTCCCCGGTGACGACGTCCCGATCATCTCCGGATCTGCACTCCTTGCCCTAGAGGCACTTATGGCTAACCCTAAAATCAAGCGCGGGGACAACGAGTGGGTCGACAAGATCTACGAACTGATGGACGCTGTCGATGATTACATCCCCATTCCCCAGCGTCAAACTGACCTCCCTTTCCTCCTAGCAGTTGAAGATGTCTTCTCCATCACCGGGCGCGGCACTGTCGCCACCGGGCGTGTCGAGCGCGGCACTATAAAGGTCGGTGATACTGTCGATCTTGTTGGACTTCGGGAGACCAGAAACACTACTGTCACTGGAGTTGAGATGTTTCAGAAGATCCTTGACGAGGCCATTGCTGGTGACAATGTGGGGCTTCTTCTTCGTGGAATTCAGAAGGCGGATATCCAGCGTGGGATGGTTCTTGCCAAGCCGGGAACCATTACTCCGCACACAAAGTTTCTGGCTATTGTCTACGTGCTTAAGAAGGAGGAGGGTGGCCGACACTCTCCGTTCTTTCCTGGGTACCGGCCACAGTTCTACATGAGGACTACTGACGTCACAGGGAAGGTCACAGGCATCATGAATGATAAGGATGAGGAGTCAAAGATGGTCATGCCTGGAGACAGAGTGAAGATAGTAGTGGAACTCATAATGCCTGTTGCGTGTGAGCAGGGTATGCGTTTTGCCATCAGGGAGGGCGGGAAGACTGTTGGGGCTGGTGTTATCCAGTCTATTATTGAGTAAAGGGGTTTCTTTTACTTCATGACTTCAGTCATGCAACGGATTCTTCTCGACTTTAGATAAGCCCAACAACATCAAGTGGAAAATTATACAAATTCAGGTTTCACTAGTTCTTGACTCACCATTGTGAAATATTTTTGAGCTTTTGGTTTTTGTCTTCCTTCTTAAAGCTGTGATTATCCATGGATGTTGATCTGATATTTCTATGGAAACTTAAAGCAAAGAAGGTCTGTTATTGCTTATTATTTATTGTGCTTTCTTTATCAATATATATGTTGCTTTGCTAGTTTTAGCTGAATTTTCATCTGTCGAGTGCACATTCTGATCCAGAGTAGAAAATAATGTTTTAGCATGCGCCAAGGCAAGAAAAACATATTATCTTTGCTTTTTAATTTAAGTATTTGTGGAATAAATTTAAACACATACAACACAATTCTTTTGTGCTTACATATCAAACAGCTAAATTTTGATATTTACATTTATAGCACTTTGGTGTCATAAACCTATGCATGAAATGGTGTATTTCACTTTTAAAAACATAGTAACAGTGGTATTTTTTATGTGGCATTAAATATTTGAGTGTTATGTATGTAAATATGAAAGTTTAGGTGTTAGATATGTAAATGCATAAAATTTTTTTTTTACTTAAGTAAATGACCCTAATTTTTTATATTATTTGAGCTTTTATGTCTTTGCTTTCTCAAGTATACTTATGTGGTTGCTCTCATGCAGTTTTATCTTAAGCTGCTTATCTTTCTAGCGGTAAGATATGCTGTTATTGGAAGATTTACGTCATCAAAAAGAGAATGCAATTTTTAAGTTTTAAGTATTTATGGAATATCTTTTTATATTATTTGAGCTTTGATTTCTTTGCTTTCTCAAGTATCCTAAGGTGGTTGCTCTCATGCAGTTTTTTTGCACTTCTCTTCATGTTATAAGCTTCAAACTCACAATTTTGAGTTTATTTCTTAATGAAAAAAGTTCAAGTAATAGTTTTACTTCATTTTCATCAAAATGTATAAACTACTGGTAATTTGCATAGATTCATCTTTTTCCCTGACCTTGATTTAATTGTCTATTTTTGCCTGGGAGTAGAGCTATGGTTAAATTGTGAAGTCCAACGAATGCCCTACAAAGAAATGTTTTATGCAAAGATGCTGTACAGATTGATCTTTGCAGCATGATTGTCGAGGGAGCCCTCTCCCAAAGATTTGGAGATGAAGCCCACCAAAGATATGTAATATTTTCAAGTTGTTATTTTTAGAAATTTTTGGACATTACACTAGTACTGTTAGCTGCCTTAGGCTTTTATTATAAAAAAAGGTGTCATTATCAGGGTTTCATCACAAGAGAGATGAAAAACAAAAAATGTAAAAACAGATAATTTCTTTTGTAAAAAATTCATGATAATAATGAAAATTGCAGCAACAACTAGATAGTAGTCATCCACAGGATGAATATATTAAAAATTCTTTGTATTTTTTTCTTTATTTTTTTGCTTTTGATGATTTTAGTTAAACTTAGGCTAATTTCAAACAATTGGTATTAAAGGTTTTGTTTTTGATGGAGATTTATGTCTAATGAAGAAAGATTAGAGAAAATGCAATCGCCTTCGAATATCAAGCCCGAGACTATGAGGGTGATTTGATGGAGATTCAATCAAATAAACTGAGAAGTTATCAAAATGCAACAAGTTATATCTAATGAAAAAGTAATTTAGATGGATGAAAGTTGTTTGATGGTAAAACAACTAAACAATCTTAGTGTATTCACTAATTTAATGGCCTCGTCGGAGATTAAATTTGGTGATGAGGTATTTGATAAACTGGTTTCATTATCTTGGTTGAGAGCCTATAAGGGTAGTCATGAGAGAAACTCTTTCGGGAAATCAAAACCAGAATTAATGATGTTTGGAATAATATTCTTGCAGAGGAGGTTCAAAGGAGTGATTTGGGAGAAGGCTCAACATCAAATTTTGCTTTGAATCTTGAGATTAAGGGGATAATTTCTGAGAGGAACCACTGAGGGGAATGGTACTAGGGGAAAGTAGAATAATGATGAGCAATTCCAAGAATGGACATAGGCTAGATGCTGGAATTATAGAAAAATTAGTCATTAGAAGAAAGATTATACTACACTTAAGAAGAATAATGATGTGGCAAAACTATTTCTTGAGTGACGTGATGCTTTAGTTTTATTTGTTGAAAATCATGTTGACACTTAGGTCTTAGATTCAAGCACTTTTTTCATGCTACTCCTTGCCATAAAATTATGGAGAACCATGTTATTGGAAATCATGGAAATATCTTTGGATGTTGTCGATGTTGATGATATGGAGAACCATGTTATTGGAAATCATGGAAATATTTTTCTATTTAATGATGAATCTTTGGATGTTGTCGATGTTGATGAGTGAGGTTAAAATGGCTAACAAGTTTTTCTGGAGCATCCTAATGTAAGGCATTTGTCTATGTTGCCGCACAACTTTGTTTTAGTTAGATGACTTAATTACAAAGGTCAACACTGTTATTCTTGTGTCCCAAGTCCCAGATGCGAAAAATGGAGCGTTGTTTTAGGTATTTGATGGCCATCATAAACATTTTGTTGAAAAACTTTGACTGAATCCTTTAAAATATTATGTCAATGTAAGGGCCCCTTATAAGCGACATTTTGTATTGTCTAAATTCAGTGAAAAATGTTCAATGGCTACTGCACAGACGAAATTCAGTGAAAAATGTTCAATGGCTACTGCACAGCAACACAGGCACTACTGCACAGACGTCCGGGTTTAGTGTTAAATAAGCAAGAGTTCTCACATTATGGACGAATGTATGCAAAAAATTTAGTCAATGAAATTAATATTAAGATATAGATTTAGAATATAGGTACTCTTACAGGTAAATTAATGAAATTAGTAGATAATATGTTTCATATAAAGATAAATATCTTAAGCATTTAAGAAATTAAATGAGTTGGAGAAAATACTATGAAAATTGATAACTTAGGTTTTAAAATTTGATATTCAGGTTGGAGGCGTTCTAGAAATTATGTAGGTGTTATTATAGATAAGTGATGGAGGTGGGTGACCTTTTGATAGATACAGTATAAAAAAATGTAGATCTATTGATGTGATGCAAAGATTTTTGTAGTTTTTTAAAAGATTTAAGAGAGAATGGTGACTAAAATACCAAGACTAGTCGAGATTAGGTTAGTTTGAGTTGATTTGAACTATTTCTTTTGGGAAAGTGACTTAAGGTTGAGTACTTATGATTTGAAGGAAATGGGTAGTTTTGGAAGAATTTAAAATGGTGTTAAGGGTTAGAGAATAATACTAGACCTTAATATGCTTTAGCTTGACCAAGAGCTCTGAAGAAGAATTTGGAATAGTTGTGAGACATTGGTTGTTGGTTATTGATACTAAGATATGTTTAGGACTTAGATGAGGGGGGATGAAGATTTTGGAGTAAATGTCACAGAGAGATAATTAATAATTTAAAATAAAAGCAAAGATAAATCTCTAAGCTCACAAAAAATGTAACATTTGAAGTCACCAAGCTCTAAGGGGCCGTTTGGTTGAGTGAATTATTTGTGTACTATAACTCTTTTGCAGGGGTTTGAGAATATTATGTGTTGGTATGAAAGCTTACAAAAGTTTTAATGAATTTGAAGTTTACACCGTTATCGGCCGCCGTCTGCCGCCCACCACTCTTTGCCCAAGTAAATACATTGTTTTCAATCCACTTCAAATAATAAAAAAAAAAAGTCTTATGTTTATTTTACGGTGATCCAAACAATTGAAAAATATTTTAAATACATTATAATTACAACATTCTTCAAATTTTTTACAGTGCATTCATGTTTAGCAAACCAAACGACCCGTAAGCAAAAAGAGAGAAAATTATCACTCAAATATTTCATCGAACAACTGATTTAAGTCGTTACATGACAACCGTATTTATATAGATTACAATGATTAAAATTTAAAAAAAAGTGAAAATTTTTAACAAAAAGAGTAAATGACTATTAATGGAGGAATGTGCTAATCATCTTTCAAATTTATTATTTTTTATGATCAATCATAATACCTCCAAATTTGAAAAATCAATAATAAAATTTGAAAAATCATAATATTTCTAGAAATTGAAATTGAATTATAAATAATAAAATACAAATTCAAATTTTTTTTTTTTGATGAGGCTCTTGTGATGAGCCTTGAATGAGCTCTTAGTTGAGCACTTTCTTA